TTTTAAAGACTTTGGTGATTTTTGAAGCTTTTCCAAAACTTTCCCGACACCGTGCTTCGCAAGACGAAAAAAAATCGCAAGATGACAAAACTCGCGGAACGAATTAATTTCGTCTTGCAAGGCACCACTGTACACACCTCCCAATAAAAACCAAGCACCAGCCGCAGGAACAAATGAACCCGGGCAATCCAGTTGAGAGCATATGCAGGAATTTGCTTTGAGTACTAGAACTAGACAGGGTGGATCTGATTTACATCAAATCAATTAAATTAAATTAAATCGATCACGATTTAAATCACTAGTCAGTAAGACTTGATTTAAATCTCTCTTTTTTTACAGAAAGACTCATTCTTGCTGGTATAATCTTAATATTTACAACAGATGGTTTCATTTTTGGAATAATAAATTTTCAGAGTACTTTTTACAGTTATATCAAAAATTACAGATTTGGTTATACTATTAGAAATACATAGACAGATAATTATGAAATTATTGTGAGGTTTAATAAGTTAACTGTTTATATTTGCATAACTTTGCTGATGTACTTTACTGGAAGGAGAAAAATAATCATTTCCTTAATAACAATTTAAACAATTTATTTAGCTAAAGCAATAACACTATAGCATATGTATCCATGTTCGTTAACTGATGTGGTTAAACTTAGACTGAGTTTTAGCACACATGAAAAACTTAAAACAAATCCTTATTTCCGGATGAACAGCCTTTGGACTATAATGTAACTTAAATAGAAAACTATCTTTAGAAAGATTTTTCCTCCAAAAGCATTTTATTTTAAAAATCCAATTTAAAATTTTAAAAAATCTGATTTTTTTTTAAAAAAGCTGATTTTTTTATTCTTTTAAAAAAATAATTGATTTTTATCCACCCTGGAAGTGGAGGACCTTAATAGTTCTTCCCCATTAAAATCCACTACTGTTTAACCCACATTGTCTATGTTGCAGCAGCATAATGCGGAGGGGTGGGGGTCATTTTGTTGCCGCTATTGTTAAAACAACAAGTTCTTACAGATCTACCGCAGATCACCACAAGATGAAAATGTCATAAGGACGTCACGTAGGCCAATGGCCCATCTAGTGCGGCATCCCGTTTTCACCTTAGTCAACCAGCAAGCAAGACGCAAGCACAAGAACACCCATCTCTCATGAAGCCTACTGCGACTAACCATGATAGGAGAGCTTAGCCATTGTGGCCAGCAGCCACTGATTGTCTTCTCCTCCATGAATCTGTCTAATCCAGGGGTCATCAAACTTTTTCAGCAGGGGGCTGGTCCACTGTCCCTCAGACCTTGTGTGGGGGCTGGACTATATTTTTTTGGGGGGGGGAGGAACGCATTCCTATGCCCTACAAATAACCCAGAGATGCATTTTAAATAAAAGCACACATTCTACTCATGTCAAAACACCAGGCAGGCCCCACAAATAACCCAGAGATGCACTTTAAGTAAAAGGACACATTCTACTCATGTAAAAACACACTGATTCCGAGACCGTCCGCGGGCTGGACTGAGAAGGCGATTGGGCCAGATCCGGCCCCCGGGCCTTAGTTTGCCTACCCACGGTCTAATCCTCTCTTAAAGCCATCCAAGATGGTGGCCATCACTGCCTCCTGGGGGAGAAAGATCCATAGTTTATTTAAGGATGTCACTGTCTTTTGTTAAAACCACAACTAGAGCTCATGCTTACTTCGTTCTGCGGACTAGTATTTCTTCATATGCAGAAGATTTACACACGCAACCAACAGAAAACCATTTCCAACTCTTCTTTCACTTTTCATTTCTTTTAAACTCACACACACACACTCAATCCATTTGAAGCAAATTACTTGGAATGAAGCCAGTTCTGCCCCATTGACCTCTGGTATTTTTCTTTCTTCAGTTTTAGGATAGATTTTAATGAACTCATTGTTTCTATGTGGTGTTCACTTTTAATTGAATTTATATTGTCAGTCACTTGGGCGGGGGAGTGACTCCAAGTTAAGAGACAGATTATATAAATGAAGTCAAATGAATGAACAGACATTGGATTTAAAGAAGTCTAAACTGATGCCACTCCAGGTATTCCAGGTGAACATTTAGTTTAAAAGGTTTGAAAATACCTGGAAGCCTCTTCCCATTTCTGAACTACAAAACCTTTGCTTATTTTTAAAACATAGTGTGGTTTACTTCAAAGAATACTTTCCAGTTTTTGTAATGTAAACCAGTAGAATGATTAGAATGCACAATAAAGGGTAGGATGATGACCCAGTTCTCAGTTACTGAAACGTCAACATGTGCCGCAGTACGTAAAGGTGCAGTGCTCTCAACCCACACTGGAAAAAAGTTTCCTTTCAGTCACTATTTATTTCCATCCTGAATGTCACATTCAGCAAAAAAAAAAAAAAAACCCAAGTCATTCCCTCTTTCCTACCCATGAGATTAATTCAAGAAGAGGGTCACTTCCAGGATGTGAGCTTCAGAAACTTCAAGTTGCCTGAAGATGAGGGTAGGAAAGCCGTTTACATGCACTCAAACATGAGATTCATGCATATAATTGTAATGCCAGTCAGCAACATTATGCTGCAGGTGTAACGCATTAAACCATATTATCTATAAACACATTCACTAAGCTGGTTTGATAACACACTAGAGCAGAACTGGCAAGTGCCTGGGAAAGCCTTTTATATGAAACCAAACCATTCAGAAGGCAACACAAATGGGGCAGTCTCTAAACATAAACTCTAACACAGCACCAAGTCAGACCCGCATCACCCTCAGTCCTTATTCAAAGACTATTTCATCCCTTGCCCTTAAAAAAAATAAAAAAACCCATCTCTTGAGCTCAAATTACCCTCCAAACCATCCGATACCTCATTACCATCTTGATTTCCTTCAACCAGAAAAACTGCACAAGTACATTGCTTATTCTCCCCAGGCTCTCTGAAAGAGGAGTGTGTAAACAATTAATGCGCATAAAAGAGTTTGCTGCCTCTGCTTTTGATAATCCAACTGATGATGAGATGCAACATGCAAAAGCAAAGAGGCCACACTTAAAAGCAGCAACGGAGAACACCTACGCTGCCAGCCCAGTCTCTCTGGGCAATGAAGACCTCTGCTTACAGGCCCCCTGTTGCTGTGGGATCGTCACCAGCACCATCAACAGCACATCTTTGCCCCAATATGGGCCCGTCGCACGACACCCTGCCCCAGCCATGTTTACGCAGTCAAAGCAGCCCAGACTCTTAATGACCAATCTGGACAAGAAGAAAGCAGCTTCACTACTTTGCTATTAAAACTTGCGGTGGTTGTGTGTAGTTTTGCAGGAGAACATGAACGCGCGGGCATGTCAAAAGTTTAGGTGTGGGAGAAGAGTAGGCAAGTTTTCCCTACTCCTGAAAGTTACACTATTCATCTGAAATTTTAAAGGGGAGGGCGTATGCGGCACTTGACATAACCCAGAAACGAGCAGGAGTATTCCCCCACCTACAGATTTTTAGTTAAACGACTTTGAACCACCATATACACACTTCCTCCCATCCCAAGCTCTCTCTCTGCCTCTGTACACACAAATACTTGCTGACACTCTCCTTCCACAAGCCTCCGATTTTAAGACTCAAGTGTCGTCCTGGTCCCCTGCTCAACTGACTCTCCCCGGGATTTGAGGGTGGGGGGAAAGCCCTCCCATTCAGAGCCAAATTTATTACCGTTCCTTCACCACCACCACTTCTGATTTGTTGTGGGGAGGAGATAATGTCAATTCCAGGAACTGCTTTCTACTCTGGTTTAACCAAAGATGTAAAGGGAAACTGGATGGTACACCACATCCCTGCAGAGCCTGCTGCTGCTCCCTTTCTCCTTGGAAACCCCTTCCCATACATTCCAGGCACCCCCTTCCCACTCCATTCCCCCCTTAACTATTCCCCACAACTAAAGGTCACTCCCACACAAGCACACCTTCTCTCCACTTCTCTACAGATCGCCTATGGGGTGGACTTTGGTAATATGGCACCCTGCCTGAGAGATGGCAAAATTGGGCAACCCCCCCCCCACCAATATTTCTTATTTTCACAATAACGGAGTACGTGCCAGTATAAATACAGGGATGATGTTGACTATGATGATTACTACTGCTACTACTTTGCACCCCCTCCGCTCTGCACCCTGTGTGAGGGAACTGCCCACCCCCACCCTAAATCCATCACTGCTGGGATCTTCCATTAGTCCCGAGTTTTGGGGTACTTTGCAACCTTCTCCTGGCATCTGACAGATCCCTCTGGGAGATCCCCTCGCCGGCCTATAGCTTTCCAGCTCCCTAGGGTCCTAGTTACCCATTTTTTCATTGCACAGCTCCCTAATCTGGGCTGGGGAGTGCAACCCCTTTGACCTGTCCGCACCGATTTGGGGGGAAAGGTCTTCTTCCTGCGGGGGGGGGTACCCCGTGTGTCCCCTTGCCCCCCCACGCCCCCCTCCTTCCCCACCCCAAAAGAAGCAAACTCCCTTCTGTCTGCCACAACCTCCTCTTGGCACGGAGACCTCCCACCCCCGGGGGACCCCTGCTCTCCAGCACCCACCAAACTCCCCAGGCAGACCCCCACCCCACCCCCCGACCACCACCCCCAATCGCCAGGCTTTTGCACCAACACGCCCCTGCCCCCTTCCCTGTCACACCCAGACCTCAAAATCATACAACCCCCCCAAAAAAGCAGCCCTGCTCCTTCTGCCACTGCTCCTGGTGCAGCGCCCACCCACCCAAAAAAACACACACGCACCCCGCCCCCTCCTTCGCACCCACCCAAATCGCCCCTTGGAGGACCCCCCAAAATGCGCCCCGCCCCCTTCTTTAAACCTCCCCCCGCGAGCTTCTTCGCCCCCCACAGAAATAATCAATTTTTGCAAACTCCCCCAGCCCCCAAAGCTGCGCCCTCCCCCCCCCCAAAAAAAGCAAGCCTCGGCCGCGGGCTTCCCTTCCTCGCCTGACAGCTCATCCCACCCCCGGCGGGCTCACCTGCTGCCTCCGGCCGGGCCGAGGCCTCCCTCCTCGGCGAGGAAGGACCGGGGGTCGTCGCCTTCCTTGGCGGCGAGGAGGAGGACCGGGCGCGCCCGGGGCCGGCGAGGAGCGCGGCGGGGGCGGCCCTCCCGTCCTGCTCGGGCGGCGGGCGCTGGCGGTTCTCCTCGTCGTCGCCGCCGCCCTCCTCCTTCTGGGGCCCCGGCTCCCTCGGCGGGGCTCCTGGGCGCCCGGGGCCCCCTGTCTCCGCGCTCGCTCAGCCTGCGGCGCCTGCTCCGCCTGCTCGGCTCCCGAGGGCGGGCGGAATGGCGAGGGGGCGCGGAGGAGGAGGAGGAGGAGGAGACGGGGCGGGACGCGGCCGAGGGGCTGGCGAGGGAGGACGGAGAGAGGGAGGCAGCCGCCAGAAGGGGAGGCCGCCGCCGCCGCCGCCGCCGAGGCGAGGGGCCGAAACCGCCTCAGCCGCGCGCCGCCATCTTGGGCAGGATGGCAGCCGCCGCCTGAGGGGAACCGCCGGCGCCTCGTCCTCCTCCTCCTCCTCTCCGCCCTCGGCCTCCTCCGGCCACGGGCAGCAGCGACACCAGGCCGCGCTCCCCTCGCCAGCCCGAGCTCGACGCCGCCCGCCCGCCTCACGCTCGGGAAAGAGCGCCTCTAAGCATGTGCAGAGTTCGCCGGGCGGCGGGCGCAGTATCCTCCTCACCAGGCGTTAGATATTAACGAGAGGCTTCGTTTTAAGAAGGGGGGGGGGTGTTCTGCTGCTGCTTTTCTCCCTGCAAGTAGACGGGGGAAAGGGATAGCAATAGGATTTACTGGCGTGGGGGGTGCAGAACCGAGTTATCTGAGACGCAGTTAAGCATTTTTTATTTATTTACTTGATTTAGGGGGCAGCTGCCCCGCTCTCTACCCCCCCCCGGCTACACCCACCCATGCATCCCAATTAAATACTTGAGGGGGCTGCCCCCCCTTAAAAAGTTGATGAGCATTGCCATTCCAATGGTGGGTGGGTTGCACCGTCAGGTGAGCAATTATGCAGGGCAGAGCTCACCTGTCATCGTCCCCCCCCCAATATTTTATTCAAGTTGGCCCCCCTGGTGACAGCCATCACCTAAGTGTGAGTGTGCTTGGCAGGGTATTTAGGGCATCACCTGCCTGTGCATGTGGTCGGAGTGCTTCTGTTGTACAAGGCGCCGCTTAAGTTGACAGCGCTCTTTGAAAAGCAGTTTAAAAGTAAAATCCGCAGTCGCGGGTTACCAACGGGCAGCAGGCCAGCAACGCATTCCTGTGCGGCTTTACTTGGAAGTAAGCCCCAGTGCCGTCAGTGCGCCTTGCTCCCCAGTAACTGTGCTGAGAGGGTTGCGGAAAGCACAGCGCATTGGAGGCGAGAGGGGCTTCAGACTGTGCATGCTCAGGGGCTGTGCTAGCATGCAGGTCAGTCCATTCCCACATTAAGCACAGTGGCAGCACACCCAGTTGAGCCACCGGTGGTGCTAGCTAAATGCAAACGGTCAAGCGTTTTTTTATTCATGGCTAGCCTCTCTCGGCCCTCTCCTCGCAGGTGAACCTCTTAGGTTTATAAATCCATATTTCCGCCCCGCAATCTATGACGCTGAAACATGAGACGCCGCATTTGCACGGCGGCATCTCAAGATCACTGGCTGGCACAGTCTCCTTCAGTCTTCAGGTGGGGGCTCTTCGCAGCCCTACCTGGAAATATCCAAAGGTCGGACGCGAAGGCTTTCTCTGTGCAGAGCATGTGCTCTGTCACTGAAGGGCAAAATAAAAGTGGTTTTGCATTTAACACGCAAGCCCTTTTGACAAATAAAAAAAGCATCGGTTGAGGGCGGGGTAATAATTATCAGGGTCACAGTGGGCACAGAATGGGAACTAATCCTTGCCTCTCCATCAGAGTCCCGAGGAAAACCTTTCTTGTGAATGTGCTACTTATAAACACTCAATAGGAGCCCGGCTGGGTCAGGCCAAAGGCCTGATTCTTTGGTGAACCTCATGGGAAGCTCACAAGCATGGCACAAGCGCTCACCTGCCATTGTCTCTTCAGTGACTGGCCTTCAGGTGTACACGGCTTCCGATACATGGCATAGCCATCACAAATAGTAGTCATCAATATTCCTCCGTGAATTTGTTTGATCCCCTTTTTTAAACCATCCAGGGTAGTGAGTGTTACTACCAAGGCAGCTAAGGGTGGCTTGGGAGCCCCATGAGGGGGAGAGGGAATTGGGCCCCCAGTAAACGCAGACCAGGTAAAAATATTTACACAGGATATAAAACAAGTGTGTCATCTCATGTTGATGTCAATCATAAATACAGTGGTGCCCCGCAAGACGAATGCCTCGCAAGACGAAAAACTCGCTAGACGAAAGGGTTTTCCGTTTTTTGAGTCGTTCCGCAAGACGAATTTCCCTATGGGCTTGCTTCACAAGACGAAACGTCTTGCGAGTTCTTGCGAGTATGTTTCCTTTTTCTTAAAGCCGCTAAGCCGTTAAAAGCCGCTAAGCCGTTAATAGCCGTGCTTCGCAAGACGAAAAAACCGCAAGACGAAGAGACCGGAACGGATTAATTTCGTCTTGTGAGGCACCACTGTGGCTCTTAAAATATATATCTTGTGTTCAGTATATGCACAATTCTGAATAATGGCTTGCAAACTTGTGCAGTGAACAGAGCATTTCTGACTCTATATGCTTCTGGGCTTTGACAGTATGACGGTGTAATCTCATCTTACTCTGAACAGTCGCATTTACAGTGGTGCCTCGCAAGACGAAATTAATCCGTTCCGCGAGTCTCTTTGTCTTGCGGTTTTTTTGTCTTGTGAAGCACGGCTATTAGCGGCTATTAACGGCTTAGCGGCTATTAACGGCTTAGCGGCTTTAAGAAAAAGGAAACAAACTCGCAAGAACTCACAAGACGTTTCGTCTTGCGAAGCAAGCCCATAGGGAAATTCGTCTTGCGGAACGACTCAAAAAACGGAAAACCCTTTCGTCTAGCGAGTTTTTCGTCTTGCGAGGCATTCGTCTTGCGGGGCACCACTGTACATAAAAACATATGCAAGATAATGGGGCCTTTTCAAGCCCTAGTAATTTGTAGCAGGTTCCTCCCCCATGCATGCTCTCTCGTCGGCCCTAGTTACTGCATCTTCAAGTCATCTTAACCTCATAGTCTAACTTTGTGTTGTGTGAAGTACTGTTGCCTATCCTGAATCCAGGTGACCTGGATGCCTAGTATTTTGACAGAGAGAAACTCTCTACTTTCTCCTCACCATCATTTATGCTCCTCTATAAGGACCTGCTTACTCGTATTTTTGCTAAACTAAAAAAGGCCCAAGTATGCTGAAGAGGGATTTCCTCCCAATGCAAGTAGTATCAGTTTCTGGAGGCGGGTGGGGTGTTCAATGGAAAAAATGCAACGGGGGAGGAAAGATTTTAATTTCTCATCCCCACCTGCTGCAGTCCTAAAATGATCAGCCCCCATCCTCTACCTGACACGCTTTTTGTATTAAAAACAACCACACACATGTGGTTTGGGCCCTTTCGTACTCTGAACGTCCTTGCCATATGAAGTGTGAACCAGATCACAGCCGCGTTGTACAGCAGCAGCAGAGTCGCAGATTACTTAACCACAAACGCAACTTACGTTCACGGAGACGCCATCAGTCATGCCATTTCTGGCAGCCTCACCGTAGCATATCATGGCCCTGATGCATTCTTGGAGCACAGCACACCACTCAGCCCACGCAGTTGCTCAACCCACAATTTTACCACACACAAGTCGGCCTCAAGATGACACTCGCCGTGCTGGAAATTCGTGTTTAGTACACTTGCTGCTCATTGTGCATAAAAATACTTACGTGAGGAGGTTGCTTCAAAACTTGTCAGGGTGCTCATTGCCCTGGAACATCCTCTCTTGTGAATAGTCACCAACACTAGTCAATAGAAAATATGTGAAAATACACTAAGTGAAAATAACATGCTGAGTGTGGTGAGCAATCTTAATAATGTGGTGAGCAAAATTAATAATATTTTCCCCCACAAACTTCTTGTGAGTGGGATTTGCTGTCCAAGAGGTTTATTTTTAAATCTAACTTTCACATAATTCACTTCTTTAATTTTCCAGTGTGCATTGTTATAGGTGCCTAATACTTTCAGGTTCTCAAATTCGGGATGTGCTAGCCAACTTCTTTATATCTGCTCACTAACATAACCCAGATGTCTGAAGATCAAACAAAGTGGGCTGGGTTCTAAATGGGGAATTAGGAGTGTGGCCTGCATGCATTTTCTTCCTACTTATTTATTACTTGTTTATTTATTTGTTGCCTGCACTTCACCCTACAGTCCCAAGGCAGGATACAGCATTAAACACAATTTATTTTTATAAAAAAACCAGTGTAAAACAGCTTACAATCACGAAAAAAATAAAACAACCCATACACCTCAAGTATCAAAACCCAAGGTAAATAGGTGCGTCTTCAGCATTCTCTGTAAGCTGTATAATGAAAATGCTGTGCACAACTGTGTGGGAGGAAGTTCCACAGCTTAGGAGCCACCACAAAAAAGTCTCTGCCTTGAGCCTCTGCACACAGAGGGCCTCCTCTGCCGACCTCAGCACCCAATATGGCCTTTTAGATACTTGGGACCTGAATCACTTAAAACTTTAAACAAAATAGACAGAGGTGGGACTTGGATGCATATACGGTAAAGGTAAAGGTACCCCTGACCGTTAGGTCCAGTCACGGACAACTCTGGGGTGGCGGCACTCATCTCGCTTTACAGGCCGAGGGAGCCAGCGTTTGTCCACAGACAGCTTCCGGGTCATGTGGCCAGCATGACTTAGCCGCTTCTGGCGAAACCAAAGCAGCGCACGGAAACGCCGTTTACCTTCCCGCCGGAGCAGTACCTACTTATCTACTTGCACTTTGATGTGCTTTCGAACTGTTAGGTGGGCAGGAGCTGGAACTGAGCAACGGGAGCTCACCCCGTCGCGGGGATTTGAACCGCTGACCTTCCAATCGGCAAGCCCTAGGCCCTGTGGTTTAGACCACAGCACCACCCGCGTCCCATGGATGCATGTAACTCTGGTCAAATTCAATACTTGCCAATAACCTGTGTGATCCCTGCTTGTGCAATGCTCTCAAGAGAGGCTCTCCTGGCACCTTCATTACCTATTTTTAGGCGCCAGGCAAAAACATACCTCTTTTCCTGGGCCTTCGGCTACTTAAACAATCTATAGCCTTTCAAATTTGAGGGGGGC